AATTGAAGAAAATATATATAGAAAATAAATTCCAATTGCATGAATAAGCTTTTAGAAGAGTCACTGTGAAGCTTTTTATCATTGAAATAAATTACTTCTAATCAATAGATATGGTTAGAAAATGTTCATTGAGAATCATATGATCCCTTCTTATTTTATTTTCTTACAGGTGTCACTGCTTTGTGGAAAGCCCAACAAATTTACTGTGAAATGAACTGTATATAAATATAAGTATAAATATAAATGGTCTAATTATCCTTGATTGGGGACTTGTATTAACTAATCACTCATCTATCACTTAGTTTAGCTGCCATTGTTCATTTTCATTGAGCTATTTGTTTTTCAAAAAGCATTTTCTCAATCCAAATATTAATGACTAAATATTCCTATATTTTTATTGGAATTTAATTTTAGAAGATACTTTTTATGTCAACTTCTTTTAATTTCGATTATCTGCCGGCAGATGTATTATTCTTATCCGGTTACGATTTTTTTCAGTTTATTAAAACTGTTCTTGGTGAACCGGAAGCTAATCTGTTAAATAAAATATCGATCAAATCAACAACATGTTTAATTCAAACTGAAGATCCACTTGATATCTTTAATTATGATATTGATGATGAAGAATTAGAAATGTTAAAAAATGAACTTTCATTTACATTAAAAAATAAAAAGTTTATGCTCAAACCTGGAGTAATTGCTGGATTTCGCTCGTTGAAAGATGTATTGAAAAAAAAAATTAATGAACAATTAACAAAATCCAAAGGAAGAAAACAATATCAAAAACAAATATTTAATACAAATTCATCATCTATATGTTCATTAGTACCAACAGTACCAGCACCAGCACCAGCAACAACACAAGCACCATCAGTATCTAATCAATTTTCTTTAGCTGAACATAAAGCATATGTGCTTAAACTTATTCATAAATGGTGTTCGAATAATAAGGAAAATTTTGATTTAGAACATTTTGATTTAGAAGAAAATGTTGATTTTGTTTTGAATATTGATTGTGACGAAAATACTGATGTAAAAGCAACAATTAAATGTAAATGCAACAGATTAATATCGTTAGGTAAAAATGATAATAAAATCCAAGTGTCTAACTATTATAAACACTTGCAGTCAAATGGTTGTGACCATATGAAAAACATAAAAAAAGTTGCAAGAGAATTAACATCAAGTCAACAGCAGCAACAACCATCAACACCTATTACATTAACACCTTCATATCGACCACATGCATCATTAATAGAAATTGCTTCTGTTTCACCAACTAACACACAAACAACAGCTCAAGTTGATTCTTCAGCATTACCAAATCAAGCTGCAAATAATAGTGGTAAACGTCGTTTAACATCACAATCACAACATCGTTCGACAACAAGAAGCCGTACATAAATATTTATGTCTTCTCTGTTTTAGCTTATTTTAATTCACACTTGATTATTCTATCTTATGGGTTCCTATCTTTCTTTAAAATAAACTATGAAAATATTTACACAATGCTATAATTTGAACTGTTTTTTCTCGTATATATTGAACGGTTTATAACATATTATTGATTGCCAAAAACAAAATAGTTTTTAACTATTATCCACGTTATGTGCTTACAGTTATATTGAGAAATTTTAAACATTCAAATACATTGAAGTATTGAAAGTACTAGAAGTAGTTTAAAGTGACTTAAAGTAGCTTAAAGTAGTTTAAAGTAGACTAAAGTAGTTTAAAGTAGCTTAAAGTACTTGGCAATTTCTGTGAACTAGCTCAAATTTCGCTTAAAGTACTTTAAATTACCTCGAAGTACTTTAAAGTAGCATAAAGTACTTGAAGTACAAAAGTCTGCCTTTTCCCCCTTGGGTTGGGGGCTGAATTTTTCGCTTAGCTTATAGATCTGAGAAGTATAAGTACAGTAAAATATTTGAACGAAAAGAAATGAGACATTCAGAAGTTATTTAGATAGTAATTTTCAAATAGTCATTGTACACTTTTAAAAAAAGGTTGTTTCTACATTTTTTCGTATATTGTAAATTGCTGAGTAGCGACATGAGATAGACCATAGATTTTATCAGTCACCTGATGCATCAGTATTTCAACAAACATGGCAAGCATATAAGACAATAATTTCTTCAAATGACTGCTGGTGTAAAATGATGAGTTTTAATAAACGTAATATATTCCGAAATAGACTTAATAGGAGAGGTACCCAATCTCTTGCTGAGTTGCAAGTATTCGAAAATATCTATAAAGTGCAACTATATTATTATCAAATAAACACCGAGTCGAATTAACTTATTCATTTATAAATATTTGATCAGTAACTTGCGCGACATAGAAAATTGGAGAACCATGACTACATCTTTACATATACAAATGAATGCGTAATATTCATTCTTTTCTGAACTTCTTACTGATGCACTGTTTAAATTACCAGTTTATCTTCTATTTCGTTATAATTTCTCTTCTCTTGTTAATAGTTTACTTCTACATTTACCATGTGGAAAAAGAAAAAGAAAGAAAGCCTATATCTTTAGTTTATCATTTTCTCTATTTCTCTCTTTGGTTTTCTCCTTTCCTTTCTCTATCTTGTTATTTATTTTCCTATAACGGGGAGGTGTGATGTTAAACAGCAAGACAATTACATACTAATGTTATGTGTGCATATGAAAGTTATGTTCGCAATTCATTTTTTATTATTATTGTCTATTTGTGTTATTCATCTCAATTTTTTACACTAATGTGAACCACCGAAGGTAGAATAAACCATGCTATATGTTAAAAAAAAAGATAGACCATAGATTGTACTCAAAAGGAGGGAGTCGTTATGTATATGACGACTACTAGTGCACTAGCAAAAAGATGAAAATCACGAGAATAACGGTCAACACTGTAAGAAAAATTGTTCGAAGAAACGCAGTTTTTTCGTATCTTTAGAGATAGATGATTTTAGTATTAATTGTTTGAAGTGAATATAGCATTCTTAGGAGATCTAGTAGATTGTCAACCGAATGATGAAAATTAGATGGTCTATGTCATGATGTAAATTTTTGTGCGCATGGAACGGATTGTTTTCGCACGGATTCCTTTTCTGAACGGTAATCATAGAATAATAAGATGCGGATGAAATGTGGACCCATAGGCATACATGCATGTTACGGACGTCCTATATGAACAGAATGGAAAGAAAACTCATTTTTGACATGGATAGCATTTTTCCGCTTGAAATGAGTATTTATCTCACTGATCGATTTGTTGTCCACTGCTGGTGAGTTCCACAAAAGTTATCAGCGAACATTACGTAAAACTTCAGTATTAGCATATACATCTGAGGATATCGAAAAGAAAATCACCTTATCTTCAATCAAGAAAATCCTACATAGTAAATGTTTCAGCAAATAAACCTATTGCGGATAACTCCTATATCAATTCATGCAACTCGAAAAACTCGAATCGTTTTGGAAACAGCTGATGATTCGCACAAGCTTCGAATCAAATCACAAGGTCGCCAAAAAATGTTCCTTCCACAACCCATTTTTGAAAGAAGTCTTTCTGAAAGTGGGGCGATTCATTTTAAACTATATACCCAATGATAAAACTGAACTACACGAATCGTGTGGGAATCAATGAACACTGGTAAAGGTTCTCCAGTTAACTGGGTCTAAAGAAATAGTGACAGATTGTTTCAGAATGCAGTTTTCATGTCCTGCCTTTCATAATGTGAAGTTACCTGTGTGTATGGGCATATGGCTGAAAACAAAGAACGCAGACCATTTAATTGCAATGTATCTAAGCATTTGTACAGCCTTTGCACTCGTTCAGGACATAAAACAATTAAACTGCTTCTGCTATAAACCACTTTCCAGATACCACCTTTCAAACATTGATGGCTTCATACAATACCAAATATAGATAAGAAGATCAGAAGGAAGCAATTCTATTGTCGTCATTTCTAGCAATGGCACACTCTCTCTGGTACAGACGTAAAGCGCAAGAAACCCTACATTCCTGTTCTACTCTTTTAGAAACCGTAATGCTCATAAAATGATACCATTCGTTTGTAGATAACCTTTTCATCGGCAAAGCCAATACAGGCAAGTAGACCGTTTTATATCCGATCAGCAGCAAACTTCACTCATGAGTCGCAGACAGAAACTCAAACCGTAATTCCCATTCTCAATAAAACCGCATCGATTCATGCCACAAACCACACCGTGAATAGCATAGGCACAGAGTAGTCAACTAATATTCACATCAGCACTGGTGCAAGTTGTAGAGTGAATCCGCAAACCAAAGAGATACGCAGGCCTTTTCAAAGGCCTATTTCAGAGATCTCAGCGTGGAGAAAATGTACTTATTCGTATCAAATAGTATTTCAATGAAAAGTGCAGAATGAGAGGAGTCGTTTTACGTACGTTTCAGCACCGGCACAAGCATTTGAGTGTATTGGACAAGCAGAAAAGTACGCAAGATGCTTCAATGACTTATTTTCGCGGCCCTTTCTCGGCATAAATGTACTGATTCATAACAAAGGCTACATCAACGAATAGCACAGACACAGATGAATCAAATGACACGCATTTCAGTACTGGCACTAGCTAGGAAGCGAATCGGGAAAACAAAAAACCATGCGAGGTCCTTCAGAGATCCATTTTAGGGAGCCCATAGGAGAAAAAATGAACTAATTCATGTCAAAGAGTATATGAATGAATACATTAGACAAAGAGGAGTCGATCAAGATGTATTTCAGCACTGATACAAGTTGTGGAACGAATCGAGAAAGCAAATAAATACACAAGGTTTTTCAAAAATCTACCATACAGATCCCGCCGCAGAAAAACTTCATTTATTGATAATAAAGAGTATGCCAGTGAGTAGAACTCTGCAAGAGGAGTCGATTGGCATACATTTTAGCACTGGCACAAGCTGTGCAGCGAATCGGGTAAGCTCAAAACTACGCAAGATTTTTCAAAGACCTACTCTAAAGAGCCCATCATGGAAAAAATGAATTCATTCATAATAAATAGTACACCAAAAGATACATCTCACAAAGAGGAATCGATTGACATGTATTTCAGTATTGGCACAAGCGGACAAGCGAATTGGGCAAGCTAAAACTGTGCAAGGTTCTTTGAAGACCTATTGTAGTGATTCAATCGTGACAAAAATGCACTGATTCATAACAAAAAGTATATCAATGGATAGCACAGACACGGAGGAATCGATTGATATGCATTACAGCACTGGCACAAGCTGTAGAACGAATTGGTCGATGAAAACCTTGCTACAGTTCTTTTTTGAAGGGTTTTCGAAACCCTAAGGTTCGACTGTTTTGATTTACAATAATGTCACATGCATCATTTGATAGAGTAAGTCGAACTGTACCGATGTATTTAGATTTCAAAAGTGGCACGATCTCTCTATCGAATAAATGCAAGAAAAACTGTTTTGCTTTGTTTTGTGCTGTGATGGAAAACAATACTTTTGTTTTTACCTTTTTTCCGTGATAAATTTTCCTAAAATCGAAATATGCTATCTGATATGATAGAACTCATCGAGCTGTATCTGGCACACAGTATCTTACGGTTGGCACAAACTTCTGGGCGAATCGTCCTTAGAAAAACGCGAATCAGGCGCTAACTTCACTTTCATATATGTGTTCATGTTCACTATTTCTTTTCCTTCTATTTCTTTTCTTTCTATTTCTGTTCTTTCTTTTCCTTTTATTTTTTCTCCTTTATATATCTAGTCTTTGTTCTCATTCTTCTCTTTTTTCTCTGGCTTTGCTTTCCTCATATGTATCTACACGTTCTTTTCATTCTTTAGTCAAATAATAAAGTGATCGTACGTAAGCGCATCGCATACACACAGACATATATATATTAACAGGGCACACAGAAGATTCTTGGTCACTCAAAAATAGTTCCTCAAAATCTCACTATATCATTCGAATCAAGCTTGACACATGTGATGAACATGTTTATTGGTTAATCTCTGATATTACGATGTACAACCACAAAACTTGCTTTTAATGTAGAACAAAAAGAGAACAAACTGTCCGACAACGATTTATAATGTGAGCTAAATGCATAGAACTTTGGTACCATAAGAAGCTCAATTCAAATGTGGCATTCCATAGTGTGTTTTTTTTCGCTTTTGGAATATTTTCTCTCGAAAATTGTGGACAACAATATACGGATTCTGCGCGAAATTTCGCAGCATTTTCATTTCGATTTGTTTTAATCTCTCTGAGTTTTAGCTAAAAAAGCTAATATGTTGAAGACTGGCTGTAACAAAGATATTATTGTAGCTTGTGAACAGCTCAATGAACGCTCATTAAATTTTTAGTCCAGATGGGTGCATACAAGGGCTACATAATCATTGAATCTCCGATCCATGATAAG